AAATATTTCAAAAGTTTATAGTAAAATAAAGAAAAGATAATACTTTAATATATTTTTACTTTTTTAAATATTTTTATACACTTTTAAAATATAATAATAATCTTTTTTATACATGTATTTATTTAAATATTTTAAAAAAAATAAAAAAATAAAATATTTCCAGTTTTTAAAAGTAATATAGAAAATAAATTATTATATTTTATAATATTTTAAAATTTATTGTAAATATTTAAATAATTTGTTATATCGAAATAAATAAATTTTAAATTTAAATATAAAATATATAAAAATAATTATATAAATTTGTTAAATTATCTGAAAATGTCTACACAAATATGAATATATTCAAAATTGTATTTGAATAAATTTATATAATATATAAAAGTTATACGTAAAATTTTGAAAAAGTATCTAAATAAATTTATAGATATATATAAATATATTTATATAAATTTATATAACATGTGAATATATGTAAATATATACATAAATTTAAATAAATTTGAAAAATTATATATTTAAATAAATTTGTAAAACATGTAAATATATGTAAATACAATTGTATAAATTTGAATAAATTCAAATGATTATCTAAATTATACATATTCTCAAAATTGATTTTGGATTTTTGAAGTATTTCGACTTTTTGAGATTTATGCAGAATTTATTCTATATATAGAAATAAAAAAAGTATCCAGTTATGTGTATATTCTATCGAAGAATAAATTTGAATAATCAAAAAATTTTAAATTTTAAGTAAAATAATTTTGTCTTCTATGAAAAATTATTTTGACTTTTTTTTTGAAATTGTAATTTCGAAGCTCCAAAATAATTTTATATGTAAATATAATCTAGATAAATTCAAATATATATGAATATATTTATTTTTTTAATACAGATAAATGCACGGGTAGTCAAACATATTTAGATATAATGTAGTTCAAATATATTTAGATATTTTTACTTCAAAAATTTCCTGATATAAATTTCAGAACAAATTAAAAAATAAAGATAAACTTGTATAGTAAGTCAATACCTTTTACTGAAAAAAGAATAAAGTTCAATTGACTATATCATATTAATAAATAACTTATTTGTTTTAATTAAAAATGAATTGGTACCTTCTATTATTAAAGAAGTATACTAAATTACTGTATGTCTTAAAATATAACATGTTAATAATATTATACAAATATTATTTTATAGTGTTATTTGAATGGTACTACATTAAGAAATTTTTGAAAAAGAATATACACTGGTTGAAAATTAATAAATAATACATATATTGGGTACCTGATATATATATTATTTATCAATTTTCGACCAGTGATATTCAGATATATTTATTCACTTACATATTTATTTAAATAAATCACATTAATCTACATTAATTCATATTTATTTACATTAATTTGTATATTATACTGAATATATATATATATATTTATAAATATATTTACATATATTCAGTTTTTATTAATTACAAATATATCTGTATATATTTGCAAGTGAAATTTTCTAATATAATATACTGAAATGTAATGTTTTAATGTATTATTTAAACATTTCATATTAATAATATACTAAATATACTATTCTAGTATGTTATTCGAATGTTTTGTATTTATTATATACTAGAATATAATATTCTAATATATTATTTAAACATTTTGTATTTATACATATTAAAATTAATATTTTTAATATATTATTTAAATATTTTATATTTATAACATACTAGAATATCTTTATAAAATTTCTAATGTAGATCTCTTTATAATTACACTTTTTATAATCATAATTAAGACTTCTTATAGGTTCTAAAGTTCACGAACCTAGTAAGTTATGTTAAGTTCAGTCTAAACTATGTCTTAATTTTAAACTCAAAAACTTATAAACTAAATTCAGTTTAAGCTAAACTTTAACTAAACTTAATTCAGATCTAAATTAAAGCTCGTAGGTCTAACTCAAGTCTGTGAGTTCAAGTTAAACTTGTAAGCCAAAGCAGATTCACAAATCCAAGTTATATCTGTGAGTTCAAATGAGCTCAGTTTATTTATAAAGTTTAATTTAGACTTGTAAGTTTATAAGTTTGTACTTTTACTTCAGATTAATTTTATGTAATATGAAATGACTTTTTACTATAATATTATTATAATGATTTGAAACCTATCTTTTAAACTTTGTAATTGTAATCAAATAATCCTCTATTATTAGTATTCATCAAGTTATTATTGTCTAAAGATAATAATTTTGTTTTTTTATTTCAAATTGGTTTTATATAACAGGAAGTAATTTTCTACTATGATATTTCTATAACAATTAAAAAACTACTGTTTTAAACTTTCTAAAGATAATAAGATCATATTTTTAATATCGATATTTATCAAGTTATCATCATCTATAAATAATTTTATTAAAATACTTAAAATATCAAAATTATAAACTTATATCTATTTTAATAAAATTGTCTATAGACAATAATAATTTGATAAATATCAATCTTAAAAATACAATTCTATTATCTTTAGAAATTCCAAAACAGTATCTTTCTAATTATTATAAAAATATCATAGTAGAAAATTACTTCCTGTCATGTAAAACTAATTTGAGATAAAAAATTAATTTATTATCTTTAAATAATAATAACTTGACAAATATTAATGATAGAAAGATTATTTAACTGCTATTATAAAGTTTAAAAGATAAACTTTTGAATTGTTATAGTAATATTATAATAAAAAGTTACTTTATATTACATAGAATTAATCTGAAGTAAAAATACAAATTTATAAATCTACAAGTTTAAATAAATAAGTTGAGCTTATCTGAGTTTACAGATCTGAATTAAGTTCACAGGCCCGAGTTGAACTTGTGAGCTTGAATTGAGTTCACAGCTTAAGTTGAGTTTATAAGCTTAAGTTAGATTCATAGTCATAAGTTAGACTCATGAGTTTAAATTAGATTAAGCCTAATAAGCTTAGGTCTGACTTATACATACTGTTCAAATCTCAAATTATTTTAATATTTTAACAGTCAAAATTCAGTTTTCATAGTATTTGAAATTTGAAATTTGAAATTTAGCATTTTGAATTTGAGCAGTACTTATAATCTAATTCAAGTTAAATCTAAATTTTAAATCTAGGCCAAGCCTAAGCCAGGTTTAAATTTTTAAGATCTGGTTCAGGTCCTATAAGACTAGATCAGGCTTAGCCTATAGAAAACTTTAATTACAATCTATATATAATTATATTTTTTGTAAAAATTAATTTGTAATAAATCTATATAAAAAAATTACAATTTTTCTATAATTATCAAATTTACTGGTCTTAAATGTGATTATAGAGAATAATCAAAAATTTTATAAATATTTATTGGGTGATTAATAAATTATTGATTTTTTTCTTGTAGTTAATACTAATTTCGCTCTACTATATGACAAGAAATTATGATCTGCGTAATAAAATTCAATCACATGACCATAAGCGGTCCTACTGATCAACAAAAATTTTGCTATAAAAAATAACAATCTTTATCATCTTTATCTTTATAGATCTCCGTTGATCCAATTACAATTAAGGATCTGCCCATATGTTTATTGTGAAAATTTTTAAATTTTCACGTCCTGTGATATTTTTGTGCTAGGGGATAGTTTTTCTTATTCATAATTTAATTGATTGATTAGTTGATGTCCTTTCGTTTTTCTCGAGACAAAACCAAATTACTAAATATTAATAATTAATTAAAGTGGTGATATGTTTATTACACTATATTAATTATTATTACATATTGTTATTAACCATTTACTACATCTACTACTATTTTTTTTGAAGAGTAATTATAATTATAATAATTATTATTATTATCATTTTACTACAACTATTACTGCTATTACATACTATATACTATATTGGAAATAATAATAATAATAATAATAATAATAATAATAATAATAAATATAAACCCATTGTAAATCCTCCTCCCTCATTAAAATTTAAAAATAAAAATTATGGATGATAATATGATGATCGATTCAACGACTTCAGCACGATCCACACTCACACAAAATTTTCAAGCAATCGTTAACAATAACCAAGTTGTTCTGGATTGGAAGTAAATACTTTTATTATTATTATAAATGTGGTTTTGTTTTTTTTTTTTTGAAATAATTATTTATTAATGATAATATATTAACCTCTTTTTTTAAAAAATTTTCACAATAACGAATAATAATAATAACAACAACAACAATAATAATAATAACGACATATCATAATGATAATGATAATAATGTAATAATGAAATAATAATAATAATAATAATAATAATAACGAATTATAATCGATAATAATAGATATGAGATGAGACGACAAATGCAAGAAATTCTTCCTGGACTCTTTCTAGGACCATATTCATGTTCAAAAGATCTTGAGTTATTAAAATCAAATAGTATAACACATATCGTGTCAATTAGGGATTTTTCAGAAAAAGTGCTTTTAAGACCAAGATTTCCGGATTATTTTCGATACTTTGAAATTGAGGTATCAGATCATCCCAACGAAAGATTAATTCCACATTTTCCTCAAGCCAAAGCATTCATTGATGATGCACTTTTAAATAATGGTCGAGTCTTTGTTCATTGTAATGGAGGAATCTCGAGAAGTCCCGCTTTCGTGGTGGCTTACGTCATGGAAACTACAAAGATGGATTATCAACATGCATATAGCTTTGTACAGAATAGAAGATTTTGTATGAATCCAAATGAAGGGTTTAAAGTACAATTAAAGGTTTGATTATTAATTAATTAATTATTTATTTATTAATTTATTTATTTTTTTTTCTATTTATATTTTTAATTTTGTAATTAATATTTAATTATTGTTTTTAAATTTAAATAGGAATATGAACCGATTTATTCCGCTAGAGATTCAGTAAATGGACATCCATATACACAAGCAGAATTACAAAGACAACCCTTAAGAAGATCTGCTCCCGAAGATGATGATCCGTATGAGTATTATTATATATTATTATATATATTACTTGATGAAATTTCTTTTTCTAATTAATTATTTTAATTATTTTTTTTTTTTTTAGGAACGAATATGAACTTGCCAGGCGTACTCCGGCTTTTCATGAAGATTCACCAGTGCAAAAATGAAAGTGATTACAAATAATAATTATAATAATAATAATAATGACAATGACCAATAATAAAAATTGAACTATATAATAATATTTAATGGATCGACCAAACATGTCCGGAACGATGATTTATTATTATCATTATTATTATTTATTATTATTATTATTTATTATTATTATCATTATTATTATTATTATTATTATTTAGTTTTATTTTTTATAATATATATATATATATATTTTTAAAAAAATTTACAAACTATATAATTTGTTGGTTCGTTTCTTTTATTATTTTTTTTTAATCGTTGTTGTAACAACGAAAAACAACAACATATGTAATATATAACGGTTTATTTTTTCGTGTAGATGTTTTATTTTTTTCTTGTAGAGATGGTGATCGATGTAGTAGTTTTTTTAAAGACTTCATAGTAGTATAATGTATTTATGTTTATATATTTATATACAATTCATATATACAATTTATATATACAGTGTGCATCAAGTATTATATGTCAAAGTATTATATATCAAGAATCAAAGAAGTATTTTATATTTCAAAATATTATATATCAACTATCAAGAAGTATTATGTATATCAAAGTATATAATTATTAAATTGTTTAGAGTGAAGAGTCTTTAAATTATTTTTCTTTTGTTTAAATAATAATTGTTTTTTTTTTAATATATTCAATTAAAAAAATTTTGATCCATTTTAATTATTATAATTATTATTATTATTATTATTATTATTATTATTATTATTATTATTATTATTATTATTATTATTATTAT